TGGAATATAAGAAATTGGATTTAACTCATGCGAGAAATTGCTTTATGGTTCATTATTGTCCCTTAATTCTTGAGCAAGAGTAATCTCTGATATCGCTGTAGACTTTGTAGTCTAATTGAATTACCATTTGAAACCATTGCTCTGTTATGGCACTGATGTTCTGATTTTAGGCTGCTTGCCGTTTAACTCGGAACAATCTGTATTCAAAACAAAATAGACCTATTAGGTACCAATTCCAGTCATTTAACTTATCATATACATCTATTTACAAGAAAAATCTTATGGGAAAAAAGAAGAAAATTTCACTAATGTGCGACGGAATATCTAATTGGGTATACCTTGGAAGAATTGCAAGCGATCTTGCACTCCAAACCATTAACTATTTTAAGTCCTCCAGTCGTCCAACATGTTTTTTTTATTTTGATAGAAGTAGGAGGCCTCATTAAAAACCTCCCTCATAGTAGGTCTTATTCCCTAAGGAAAGAACCAACTAGCGGAAGGAGGAAAAGAGTACCTCATTATTTATTGAATAAAACATATTACATAAAACTTAAACAAACAGCAAAACGACTGTTCCTTACAAAAACATAAAACAGAAAATAAATAAAGCTTACAATCACCCAATCCCCTCCTTTGCTAACTTATCTGCCTCACAATTACAACCCCAAGGTATCAATCTAAGGATACAATCCTTATCTGAAATAATAGACACTATGTCTTTTACTAGATTAGAAAAGAAGAGAGGAGCTGAAGAAGGAGAATTAATCCAGTCCACCGACTTACAATTGGACTCAACAATCAGCCTACCCTTCGAACACCAAGCTGAAGATAAAAAATCTCTAAGCCTTTAATGATAGCTTTCAATTCTGCTAAAGGGAGGGCTAGGACCAATATTCTCTGAAAAGACAGCAGAATAGAACAATTCCAGTCTCTTAAAATACCCCCTACACCTCCCATCAACCCATTACCACGCAGCCCCATCAACATTCATCTCAAAGAAATCAACTGGAGGAGGAGTCCAACATAACACAGGCAAATACTGAACTTAGAAACAGAATTCTTATATTTCACAAAGTAAATACAGGCAACCATGTCTATAGTCCTTGGTCAATATACCTCCTCAAGAAAATCCCGAGCTTCTCTTTTTCCTACGGAACTAAAGAGAAAGTCATTGTGAAAATACGCTACAAAATAAGGGTCCATGGAACAGTTGTCACTTCAGGTTGATCTTATCCATAGTCCATAAGCTGGATGGACAAACAATTTGGCCTCAATGACAGCAAACAAAAATGCAGTGCTTGTGAGAGTCCTATATTATAGATCAAATAAACAATCCAGAAGAAAAAGAGAAAATAAGGAAATTCATATATCTATCTCACACACGACCCAATATAGCTTTCATAGTGAGCGTCATCGGTCAGTTTATGCATGCACCAAGGGATAAACATTTAGAGGTTGCTTACAAGTACGTATTTGAAAGGGACTCCAAGCAAGGGTCTACACTTCTAGAAAACAAAAAGTAGATGTGTGGAGATTTATACTAACGCAGAGGCTGATTCAGTAAGTGACAGACACTCTACGTGGCTACAATAACTATGTAGTAACCTTGTTACATGGAAAAAAAGCAGTCGGTTGTAGCTCGTAGTAGAGTCGAGGCTGAGTTTTAGCATTGTCCATGGTATATGTAGGGAATTTGGATATAATGATTAATGGAGGAACTCCAAGTACGGTATGAACGACCAGTGAAGATGTATTGTGACAACCAAGCAACAATCAGTATAGCTCATAATCCTGTCACCACGACAAAGATGGTAGATATAAGTCAGGAACACATACGGGAAGGTTAGGGGGAAAATCAACACTGCCTGTTTGACAATTTTAAATATCAGCTTATCCAGCGTGAATATAACGTATGACTAAGTCGATGATAGCTTGACAATCATCTTCAAATTTTGTATTAACAGAGATCTATCGAGTAAATTGTGAAGTGCACTCATGAACCTGTATCACAAAAGAGTTTAATGAAATGTAGTGACTTTTTTAACATTTTCCTACACCAACAGAAGTTGAATTATATTACCTGGCATAGAGATAAGTAGGGACTTGGACAACTAGAAGCCCTCCATTTCCTATCAGCAGATGATGAATTAACCTTTTCTGATTGTATTCTCTCATACAATGTCTGTAGAAATTGTAAAGACGTTACTGAGTTGATGAGCAAACTATACAAGAAATATCCATTAGGATCACTAAATTAGCACGTCAACAAAATGCAACTTACTTGGTGGAGCCTAAACAACACATAAAACTAAAAGAAACAGTGTTTATGAACTCAGGGGACCAATTAGAAGAACAGACCTTGTGGAAGTAGCCCACTACAGAGGAACCCAATGAATCAATGATACCAATCAGTTCAATGCAGCAGAATACTCCTTAAGCCAGTACAAGAAAAACCAACTAGAATGAAGTTGTTGCGGTAGAAGACAAGGAACGGACAACTGTATTAAAATAATTTGCTGATGTCCTGAATTACTTATATATCAAAACAATTGTAACGAATCATACGTGATGAATTTTCAATGAAATTTACCTTTTCTCTCAACTTCTATTTTACTTCTTCAATCTCCTTCATTTTTCTGCAAAATCAACTTGCAATTCACAGATTGATTGTGACTAACGTTAACCTGTAAAATCTCAAGAGAAAAAATGTGTCTTGTTATCATCAGTGTCTTCCTTCTTGCTCATCTAGAAGAAAAAACTTTTCATGAAGGGAATCCTAGAAAAGATTTCAAAATGCATAGAATAATTGGTGAAAGTATTGCAAAGGGTACGAAACTCTAGGGACAATCTCCCAAAGATAAGTTTCAGAGTCATGATAGCAAGTATCAACAAACAATTGCAACAAAAATATTAGCCCAAGTAAGAAACGGAGACTAGCAATCTGGGTAAAATACTTTGGTACATACCTCATGATCGTCCTGAAGTTGCACAACTTTGTCAAGAGTTCAACCTCTAAACCCTACAAAACAGATGGGATTCATCTTAAGAACCATGAAACCAAAATAAAGCTTCCCTAAAGCAAACGCCTAGCAAAAGGTATAAAACCTTAGACCTTGAACTCAAATGAATGTGAAATTAAACCACCCAGTACATCATTGTTAGTTTGAGGTTGAGCAGCCATGTGTGAAATGACGAGAGCATTAGACCTATCTGAGAGTTGAAGCTCTAATTGCTGATTTGGGCAGTATATTCTAGGATCTGAGGGAGCATAGACATTGTCTGTGGGTTAAAATTGTCATACGAATTATTCGAGATTGATTGCATAGGTTGGGCATATGGATTAACATTTGACTGTCCAGGTTGAACATATAGATTAGCATTTGGCTATGAGGGTTGGCCACAGTGATTAGCACCAGGTTGTGGCGGTTGACTATATTGATTAGCACTTGACTGCACATATACATCAGCCATAATATCATTTTCCTGATTTGGAGTTGTCAATTCTTGAGGCAGAAACTGGGAGTTTGTTGATGGCGGTTGAAAACTAGACAAACTTAGTACAGAGTAAGCAGAGTCCCCAGTGGTGAAGTTTCCAACTGTCTCAGAATTTGTAGAAGTGCACTGAGGAACTACAGCATTCTGGTTGTTGCAGGCTGGAAAGTAGGCATGTAAGTGGAAATTTATGCAACACTGGGACAATATCAGTTGAAGGGAGAACTTTAAAAGGATCAAACGAATCATCAAAACTCTGAATCAAGAACAATATAACAAAATATAGATGAAAACAGATTAACTAAAATATATATTGAAGTCCAGTGGAATCAAAGAAGAAAAAGTTCAGAATAAATAAGGGAGATATAGAAGAGGAAAGGGAAAAATATTTAACAAATCTTCCAAATTAAAATAATCATGTTACATGATTTCCAAAATTAGATGTGATTGATTGGTAGCAAAGGTGGTCATAGCACTGGAGTCGACACGGGCATCAAAATCAGCATGGTTTTCAGCTGTAACAGGGATGATGGCAAATGAATTAGACAGAATATCCAATAAGTCTGTTTCAGCATTGGTCAAAGCAAAGAGAACCGCAGTGGTAGGGACAACTACTGCAGTAGTTGGAGCAGCTGTAATTGATGAGTCAAGTCCCTCAAAACTCTGAATCAAGAACAATATAACAAAAATATAGATGAAAACATATTAACCAAATCCTCTGGAATCAAAGAAGAAAAAGTTCAGAATAAATAAGGGAGAGATACAGAAGAGGAAAGGGAAAAATATTTAAATCTTCCAAATTAAAATAATCATGTTACCTGATTTCCAAAATTAGATGCGATTGATTGGTAGCAAGGTGGTCATAGCACTGGAGTCGACACGGGCATCAAAATCAGTAGCATGGTTTTCAGCTGTAACAGGGATGATGGCAAATGAATCAGACAGAACATTCAATAAGTTTGTTCAGCATTGGTCAAAAGAGAACCGCAGAAGGAGTTTGTTTACAATCACATGGAACTCCAACCAGTAAATTCATTTGAATTGAGCATATAAAAATCAAAACTAAAATAAGTCACCAAAATAGTCTTTTATGTTTTAATTTAAAACTATGACTAGTATGTAAATAACCACAAATGGTTTAGCTCCCCAAAAATAGTATCCCCATTTAAATTACTAAACCCTCGGACTATAGGTCAGCAACTCCAAGTTAAGGGCAGGGAAAAAGCTTGGATTCAGGTAGTGGTCTGCGCACTGTGTTCCAATTCCGCTGCCTGCTTGATCTTCATAGTTGCGGCTTTGGTGTAGTTTCTTCTCTGACTTCTTGTTGGCTCGGCTGCTCTTGTTCTGCAGTTGTGCGGTGCCACATAAAAAATAATCATAAAAGGGAATGTGAAGCAACAAAGCATGTCAAATCTAAAACAAGACCTCCACTTGATGATTTCAAGAAGCTGAATTACTAAGATCAGGGGCTGTTTGGTTAGGATTATTATTGCTAGCAGCAGAAGCCTCGGGAGCAATTGCTACAGAAGTTAGGCTAACCCTATCATAAAAGTATTTTCAGTATGGACCATCAAGCAAAACACAATTGCAAGTAGCATGTCTCTGAAAAGATACCTTTCACTATGGGCAAGAATCTAAATCCCATCTAAGAAAAAAAAAAACAGAAATTTAAGAAACAAGAAACTAACAATTATTGTACCACAAACCATATTCAGTAATCTTCTTCCAGAGTCATGGAATTAAAAACAGATCATGTCAGCAATCATTATGTAAAAATGAAACTTTTGAATTTTCAAAATCAAATTGAAAAAAAATAAACATGAAGACAATAAGCAGTCAAAAATAGCAGAATTTCAGATACATTATGTGTTCCCTTAGTGTTAATAAAAACATGAAGCAGACTACAAAAGGAAAATAAACATTCAAAATATAGATCGGGAAAGAAAGACTCTACATACATATAGACAATCCAAAGCAAGTTCAAGGATTTTATGTTTCAATTTAAAAATCAATACTCAAATAAGTCACCCAAAATGGTCTTTTTGTTTTAATTTTACACTGTCACTAGTTATAACTATTTACAAAAGGTTTAGCTCCCCAAAAATAATATCCCTGTTAAATGACTAACCATTTGACAAGAAAAATGTAATTCAGAAATAAAAAAATATACTGAAACCTACAACATGAAAAATAAATAAAACTAATAATAAAATTGAATGTGAAGCAAAAGAACAAGTCAAATTCTATGACCATCCAAATAAAAGAATTGGAACATAAAATCCATTGAATTCATATACAATTTCATACCTGAAACTGAACCGTGGGGATCAAATTCATCACAGACCTCCGCTTGATGATGATTTTGAGAAGTTGAATTACTAAGATCAGTAGCTGCTTGGTTAGGATTATTATTGCTAGCAAGAAGGAGTAGTGCTATAGAAGGCCAACCCTATCATAAAAGATTTTTTCAGTATCCACCAATAAGAAAAACACAATTGCAAGTAACATATCTCTTAAAAGAAATACCTTTCACTATGGGTAAGAATCTAAATCACACTTACTACTTCTACTTAATTAGGAGCACCGACATTTTGTTCAGAATGCTTCCGCTCATGCTACACATCAGGAAGCTAAATTTTAGCCAAAAGAATAACTTAATGGATAATGAACATATGTGTCATGTAATACACCAGAAAGAAATATATCATATTATCTCCTATGTACACTAGACCCTCGTGGCTCAAATACCACCACCAACTTACACAGATTAAACTTATAATTCTTAGAGCGCCCTCAATATATTTCTTTATTTGGCAAGTCATATATGAATGACACTACACTGAACCATGATTTCATTTAGAAAGGAAAAAGGTTTCCATTTTCTTTTTTTTTTGATAGAAGATGAGGCCTCATAAAAAACCTCCTTTTTACCCTCCATGTTATGAAAGTAAAAGGTTTCCATTTTCTTGCCACTGTCAACTCTCTTACCCAGTCCCTAATATCTGTGTTTGTATGTAAATAATGCATGACTCGACAGACAAACACAGAAATCCAAAGAAAACGTCCGAGGAAGTTTCTTTTATTTTTTTGAAAAAATAATATTTAAATTGGAATATAAGAAATTGGATTTAACTCATGCGAGAAATTGCTTTATGGTTCATTATTGTCCTTTAATTCTTGAGCAAACAGAACATAGCAGCAAATGGATTCAGACATACCATATCTACTTATGCTAGCGAAGTATATGCCAAGAGTAATCTCTGATATCGTTATAGACTTTGTAGTCTAATTGAATTACCGTTTGAAACCATTGCTCGGTTATGGCACTAGATGTTCTGATTTTAGGCTGCTTGTCGTTTAACTCGGAACAATCTGTATCCAAAACAAAAGACCTATTAGGTACCAGTTCCAGTCATTTAACTTATCATATCTATTTACAAGAAAAAACAATCTTATGGGAAAAAAAGAAGAAAATTTCACTAATGTGCGACGGAATATCTAATTGGGTATACCTTGGAAGAATTGCAAGTGATCTTGCACTCCAAACCATTAACTATTTAAGTCCTCCGTCCGACATGTTGAAGATAGATCATCACCACCCGCACATTTGTGTATTTCCTGCAAACATAATTCTTATATATCATGATAATTTCACTATGTAAATGTAGGCAACCATGTCTATAGTCCTTAGTCAATATACCTCCTCAAGAAAATCCCGAGCTTCTCTTTTTCCTCGGGAACAACTAAGAGAAAGTCATTGTGCAAATACGATACAACATTAGGGTCCATGGAAATAGTTGTCACTTCAGGTTGATCTTGTCCATTGTCCATAAGTTGGATGGACAAACAAGTTGGCCTCAATGACAGCAAACAAAAAATGCAGTGCATGTGAGAGTCCTATATTATAGATCAAATAAACAATCCAGAAGAAAAAGAGAAAAGTCAAGTCTTACACATTCAATGTGATATATATTCATCGTGAAGGAGAACATGAGCATTTTCATGATAAACAACATCAAATCTTCTAGATTTTCTTTATTTCTCATATGCATACAGTTGGAGTTTCTGTCCATTTTATCACTTGCAATGGCTTGAAGATGAGACAAGCACCACAAAGATGGTAGAGATAAGGTTAGGAACACATAGGGAAAGAAATGGGGGAAGTTAGGGGGAAATCAGCATAATAATTAAACATATATTAAAATAGTTTTCAAGTATGCGGTTGTTAAAATTTAATTTAATAAAATATAAATAACAAACAAGATTTATGGAAGAAATAGAGACATATCCTTGAAGGAACAGCCATATGCATGCCGATTATAGCCTATAGGCATCAATGCAAGCTGTTTTAGGATCGTTCAGACATAAAGTCAAACAGATGCTCTGCAACAGAAAAAATATAGGATTTATACTGGAGAAAGAATGAGTATAAATAAATATCAAGCAATGTCATCCTTATTAATCGACAAGAATCTTGTATAATCTTGAAAATAGTTACCGAAGCATTTTTAAATAGTTAAAATCTAACAACAAATCTGAACATAAATCCAAAACCCAAAACTGAGATAATATATATATCATGGATACCTGAAGTAATTTTGTGACGTTACTGGAACTAGCTTGTTTACTAACCCCTGCTACTTCACTACCTTTAGAGGGACTAACCTGCATTCTAGCTTCAAAGGTGATATTCTTGTCAATTGGTTCACACATAACATTGGGCTCAAACTTAATTTCCTGGAAATTAAAGCAGAAACAAAGCATTATGCCTCATAAAAATGTCAAAAGTAGAGCAAAAGGTTAGGAAAATTAATCAGATGGCAAATAATACCATGTCACAGTCAAACCCACAAAACTACTGTAAAACAAGGTACAAATTTTACATTAGCTTCAGTTATCAATATAACAAGTACAAATATCTGAAACAGCCCTCAAATATAGCTAATAGATCAGAAAGATAACCCAAATAAGATTTCACGTTATTGTCCAAAGATAAGGGGAAATAGACAACATAGACAACCTACCAAAGCTTTCTTTCTCAATATCATTGTGCTTGTAGAAAAGTAAAATATCTTCCTTTGTCTTATATGGTGGAGCAATCGGTCATAAATATTAAACAATTATGTTTAACATCAGGATAAAATAAAAGAGAACCCCAAACATTTATCAAGAACAAACTGGCAAAACTTAAACAAAGGTGGCGTTAGCAAGATTCATAACCAGAATTCGCCTAAAGAATCTAGTAAAAACAGTCAGTTTCAAACCTCATTATCATACACTGTCTGTATAATTGTGAAGCTTCGTCAATGCAAGCAGTTTTAGGATCATTCAGACATAAATACAAACAGGTTCTCTTCAACAGAAAAAAGATAGGATTTCGACGGTAGAGTGAGTATAAATAAATATCAAGCAATGTCATCCTTATTAATCGACAAGAAATCTTGTATAATATTGAAAATCGTTACTAAAACATTTTTAAATCGTTAAAATCTAACAACAAATCTGAAAATAAATCCAAAACCCAAAACTGAGATAATATATATCATGGATACCTGAAGTAACTTTGTGACGTTACTGGCACCATAGATTCTATGAACAGAAACAATTCTTTGGGGATTATTTGACGGAAAATAAGGCCAGAGAATACAGTCTTCCGTGCATCTCTCCTCAAATATCTGCAAGCCGCATAACGACCAGAACTCATTGCTCAAGAATCTATTGAAACTCAACAGAAACATTTCCTAAATTTATGTTGTTGGAAAATAAATCTATCGATATACAACGGAATTGAAAAAAAAGATTAGGGAATTGAAGTAGAAAAAGAGGAACGGCTAGTTTTTTCAAGAATGGGGAATTGAGAGGGAAAGTGTGTAATGGGAACGGCCATATTTGCAGAGAGGTTGGAGTTGGGTAGAAGAAAGCGTGGCAACGTTTCTTATGTCATCTATATATACTAGCCAAAACCCCGTTAAAACTTTGGGAGATTTCCAACGGCTATTAAATTAGCTGGGCTGGAAACCCCTGGAAGGTGGGCCTTGTTGCATTTAAATAAATTAGGATAAAGTTATGCCATTTAATTATTAATGTAATTGTGAATAAATAATGTTTTTAAAAAGTATATGTATAAGATCAGAGTCGGGCTAATAGGGGAACACCATGAGCGATTGTTCAGGCACTCTAATTCTTATAGGTCTTATTTTTTTAATTTTTTTTTATCTTTATAATTGATGTTTCTAACTATTTTAAATCTAGTTTTTTTATTTTTATAATTGATACCTTTAATTTATTTTTTTAATTAGATCTTATTTTTTTAATCTTATTTTTTACCTTTATAATTAAGGCTCATGATTTTTTTAATCCCACTTTTTACTTTTATAATTGAGCTCCATAATTTTTTTTAGTTTCACTTTATACCTGTATTGAGGCCTTTAGTTTTTTTAATCTCACTTTTTACTTTTATAACGCTCCTAATTTTTTCAATCACAATTTTTACTTTTATAATTAAGGCCCCAAATTTTTTTCAATCTTATTTTTTACTTTTACAATTGAGACCCCTAATTTTTTCAATATCGATTTTTACCTTTACGATTAATGCCCCTAATTTTTTTCAATTCAATAAATTTCTCAATTTATTTTCTATTTCTCCATTCCTCTCATTAATTCATTTAATTTCAAATTAAATCTAAGCATGTTTTTCTTTTTCTTTTTTAAATGACATTCTTCAATTTATCAAATATAATTGAATTTTTAGTCTTCTCCAATCACAATCTAACAATAAAATAATATAATAATTTTTTATTGTTCAAAATCAATATCCGTGTCATACCTAAATACACATTTTATATATTTATTCTCTTAACAATATTTAAGGTGTTTTATATACAAAATAATGAAAATAATATTTGAAAAAAATAATCATTTTAAATTTATCCTCAATTTTTTAACATTTTAATTTCTTCCTAAACTCTATCATTTTTAAATTTGTCCTAAAATTTTTTCAATATTTTAGTTTTATCCCAAACTATATCTTTCATTGTAAATTGGACCTTTTAATTTTTCAACATTTCAATTTCATCCCAATTTATATATATGTAATCATCATTGTAAATTGATGCTATTTATAACTAATTAATAATAAATCATGTCATCTGGTGAATAAACTTAATTTTTGCTTTAAAGTTGCATTCATTAAGTCATATCTATTCAACAATTCACTTTATGAAAAGGTTTAACCCTTTCATCAAAAGGATAAGTCCTTTAATCGAACGGTTAAATCATTTCATCAAAAGGTCTTAACCCTTTAATCCATCTATATATAGACTAGTTGAGGCACACTTCTTAGACACACGTTACAATTCACAACATTGAATTCGAAAACAGAGAATTCCTTCAAAATTCATTCTTTCTGGTGATAGAGAAAGACAAGATTGTGCTCGACTGATCACTACGGTTGTGTTTATTGTTATGGTTGTTTGTTATTGTATTCTGGGAGACCAACGTCCAATGTTACTCAAAGCATTGAAGAGAAGACGAATATGTCTTAAGAAAAGTGTTCATATAAGCTTCAACAAAATTTCATCTTCTATATATCTGACTCCACTCATCAGATTTCATGTCTACATATACGAGTAAATCATTTCATTCCTCTACTTCAATTTTGTATTTATTTTGCTTCGTTCGATAAATAATAATACATGTTCATTATTATTATTATTTATCTCAAATTAACATTTTGTCTAACAGATTCATCATTGTTCATTCAAAACAGGTCTAACACTTGCTAATAATGTATGTGGATGACGTAGTAATAACTAATAGTGATGAGATTGAGGTAGATAGGGGTGTACATTTTCGGATATCAGATCTTATCCGAAAATTTAGATATCCTGAAATTCGGATCACTAAAATTGTGATATGTATCCGATATGAAAAAATCATATATCTAAAATTTTGGATCGAATATTCGGATACTTGAATCCAAATATAAACTTTAAGTTGACAAAAATATTAAATTTAAAATTAATATTTTATGACTTTATACAATATATTCTATACTTCTACTATATAAAAAATATAAGAGCAATTCTAAAATAATTTTTTTAATGCAATTTCAAGGCTTGAAGTATCAACAAAATAAATGTCCACTGCTACCCTGAAGGTTCTTAAGAACATACTGTAACAACAATGATTGGCAGCAAGAGAAGTTCCCGTAGATGTGATATATGACAAGAAAAGGCTGGAAATCTGCAGTATCTTCACCTTTCTCTTTCTTTTGATAAAACAAATTCTACACCATATTCAAAGAAATGAAAATTCAATTGTTGTTATACCCTCATTTTTCTTCTTTTTAAATACTTCAGACATGCACTATTTTGTCTAAATACTAATCATAAATGCAAAACATCCAGCTAGGCAAGGAGAAAAATGAAGATAAATCCAAGAATAAATCAAGTTGAACCCTAGAGTGAAAAGGTTTCCTAGAAATACAGCAGTTCTTTTTACTTCAATCAAAGAGCAACTAGATTGAGACTGCAAATTGATCAAACTGTTCAAAACAGATAGAAAT